AAGACGCCGAGCCCACTGGGGAGTCGTTGAGACCCGAGAGTTGAGGGCCACGGAACTGCTGCTCCCGTCTGCCTTGGGCGATCATCTTTAACCCCCCACAGCACGTCAGCATCCAGCCACCGCGGCGCTCTCCTAGCGAGCAGCACTTGGGACTACCCCCTTCGGCGAGACGGATGGAAAGCGAGCCCTACGGAGGACTTGTCCCTGAAGTTCTGCCTCAAGTCACCATTGTAAACAAGGGTGGGTTAATGCCTTTTCTCCTCTCCAATACTTTTTCTTCCGCAGTGTTTTCTGAGCTGACCTAGTCTCTTACGTCTCCGCACATCCTCCTCACAGAACTGTGAAGTTTAGGTACGTGACAGCTCTGCCTGCATCTCACGTCCAGAGTAATTAATCAAGAATGCCTGTGTGTCTGTATGTGTCTGTTGAATCGCCAGAATCCTTCTTAGGGGTTAAGCTAAAAAGCTAGGAGAAGAGCCCCTCTCCAATGGGCTCAGTTTTGCTGAATAATCACGTGTGAATCAAGGGGCGGGCTTTTGGCAGGCCGACCTTACTAGTATTTACTACCAAGCTCTACTCTAGATTAACCATCCCAGTCCTTCTGTCAGCCTCCGATGCCATCATGCAGCCTGATTAGGAGCAAAGGAAAGGGGGAAAGGAGAAGCAACTAATCGTCTTTTCCCGATCGTCAGGACCCTAAAGAATGGCCGAGCCTTGGGGGAACGAGTTGGCGTCCGCAGCTGCCAGGGGGGACCTAGAGCAACTTACTAGTTTGTTGCAAAATAATGTAAACGTCAACGCTCAAAATGGATTTGGGAGAACTGCGCTGCAGGTTGGTATCCACAGAGGTGGGGAAAGCGAGTCAATAAGGTTGCTTGGGCTTCTAAAATGACAGTTTTTAAGTTTTGAGGGGTACAAATCGTCACGGTTTTAAAACCTACTTGGTTGCCATATTTTATATCTTTAAGTGGATCCAACTCCCCAAAATGACGTACTTTGAAGAAACTCGTCAAATCCAGTAACATCCTCGGTATAAAGAGAATCCTAGGTTTGGTCATATTTTTTGGAATGTTTTTGTGACAGTGAAGATTTTAAAGTAGTCTTAGCGTCGAAATCTGTTTGTTTTGTGCTGTGTTGTTTTAGATAGCTCTTTAAGCACATTATTATGATTATTATTTGAAGTAAATACACAGTTAATAGTGGTTTTCACCTATTTTGTTCCCAATAATTGACTTTAAGGTTAATTTCCCTGACTACTAGGAAGGGTGTTTTTCCTTAAGCTGTTTCATGTCTTAACAAACGACCTTTCCTCGTTTGGAATGGGATAGCCTGGGCACCAGGACAGGATGTATATTCCACAGTTACTATACTACCTAACCCACCCATTCAGGATTGAGGAGAAATAAAAAGTTGAATTTTCTAATCAGAGCTAAGCAGTAATGTTTTTATTTTCCCCGTGGTCATGCGGTGGTATGCTCTATTTTTCAGTAATTAGATTTACAGGCAACAAATGACACATGTCCAGCTGCCAAGTATGTACCTGATAATATTTTTTTCTCCTCCAAATGTTATCATGTAATTTTGCTGGAAGGCTTAGAAACAAACAAACAAAAAAATAGAAAAGTGATCTCTATACACTAGTTGCTTTTATTGGTGTTCAGATGGTACTCCTGGGAGCTTTTCCTATCCATGAGCAGCTTTTGAAAACCCACTGGGATAAGGGCATTAGAGAGCTCTGTTTCTGTTTTTAAAATTAGAAATTTAAGTGACAGGATGCCACAGTAGAAGCTCACACGGCCTGTATATTTTAAATCAGAGTATAACTGGCCTTGCAAAATTTTCACTATTGAGGTGGCTCATGCAGAGATACTAAAATATTTATCCTGATTCAGGTAGATTAAATAAGGAAAGGTTTTGCTTTTGTTTTACCATCTAACACTTTTGTACTGGTTTGGTGATGATAGATAGCAATGCCTTAAAAAGGTTTTCTATTGAAAAGACAAAAGATAGGTCAGTTTCACAAAGTCTAAGCCACTTCATTCATGTTCAGAAAAAGATAGTACAGAATCTTTTACAAACAAGACAATTGGGTAATTAAGATAATTGGATTTTGACAAACATTTTTTTAAAAACTAGCCACTTTTGTTTTTATATTAACAAACTTAGATAATACCCACTTATAGCTTAATATCAGTACATATAATGAAGCATACACACACAAATAGGAGTCTTTTTCAGTATGCATAATCCTGATTCTGAAATTGTGTCATCAGAAAGAACTTTCTTCAAAATCATTTGCAATATTACTATTACTTTCTGCCAAAGATGGCAGATTTTAATCTGTGATTATGTTTCCTACTCAACTGCAGAAGCCTTTTTTTTCTTTGCTGTTGTTTTCAAGGAGAATAATAAAAGACCTTCATGGTATATTTGCTTTACAAAGTTCTAAGGTGTCTATTTCATGTTTAGCTCACTTTAACTCTTTAAATGTGACTAAGGTTCTAGAGAGATGTGGCAAAAATTAAAATTAGACTGTACTAATTTTTAATAACCAGAAAATATATTCCATGGAGGCTCTGGAAAAGTAAATTTTGGGTCATTTTTCTACTGTTCTAAATGAAGGGGTGACAGGGTTTATTAAAGTGAAAACTTAGTATCATGAGAAAGTGAGTAATTTGCACTTAAAATATTATTCATTCTAAATATATTTTAATAATTTGTTATTCTTTTAAAAACATCTTAAAGATATTCATATTTTCAAATGTGTTACTTTTGACTAATAAATATTTAGTGTCTAGTAAGTAGCTCACTTATATTATTACATAACTTATTTTATAAATATACCTAAATATACATGAAACCAGTTCAAATGCTGGAATTTTGTGGCATGTTAATGAGAATAATATTTTTCACAACTACATGATACACATATTATAATCTCTATAATCCCAAGTGCTGTTATATACATACTTTTACTTATGAGAGATCTTTAGGAGACATCTCTTAAAAATAATACATTTAGACAACAGTAAATAAGTTTTTGTAATGTAAAATATTTTGTGCCTTGATAGGAAGTATTGATACCATATTCTGGCTTTCAAAACATTGGCAGTTTACAAACAGCTCTTCTTAAATGTTATGAGAGCAAACGGAAATCAGACAGGATCGCCAGTTGATTATTAAATGACTCAAACCACAAGACAGAGATGTCTGTTCCAACACACACATTAAATATCTTACTTTTACTTTTGCCCACTTGAATATCAGAGGGCCAGTTAGAACTTTGAGAAATACTAACTAATATAGTAGGATAGCTATTTTATTCTTTTCAAAGATGGTAGCCATGCAATCATTTCCTCTCTAATACAAGACATATCATCAACTTAGTTTGAAGTAAATTTACATAATAAGTATTGTAGAACACAGTGGCTGAATTAATACCTTAATAACTCAGTAATATTTGATAATTTGAAATGAATTCTAACCACAGAATGTTTCTAGTAGCCAATATTTATAGCCTGTAAAGAAAAAATTTAATGCTTGAAATTTTCAGGCAATATCTATTTGGAAGGAATTTGTAAAAACTAATCATTTTAGAAAATGTCAACTTTGGGATTTTAAAGGATCAGTTCTACATTAAATGACATGTATCTGGGAGCTTAAAGAAACCTACCATCATTTGTTTTCAGTAGCTACTAGGAAAAAATTTTTACCCCCATTCAATCTTCCAGAATTAATGCCCCAAGTATATTTTATGAGCATGAATAAACAAATAGGAGTCTCTTTACTTAAATACTAAATTTATTTTATGGAATTCATGAAGAAAAAAAAGCAGAATCTAAACAGTTCTTAAAAGATAAAGAACCAAATTAGCCATCAAATTTATTCATGTTACAGAAATTCTATTTTATTGATCAATTTATCTTACACCTGGGCTTATTTAGGATATTCCACCAATAAGATCAATTTTTGTAATTTTTCTTCTATTTTTACCAACTGCTACACAGTCTTCAAACTCTACAGTATGAGTCTTCTTCGAGTATTGAATCAAAAATAATGACCCGAAAAGGACAGATAGATATGTATGTCTTTTAGATATTGCTATAGCTCGAACGCTGGAGGGATTCTCCCATCTTTAACTTCTTTCCTAGGTTATGAAACTTGGAAATCCAGAGATTGCCAGGAGACTTCTACTCAGAGGTGCTAATCCCAATTTGAAAGACCGAACTGGTTTCGCTGTCATTCATGATGCAGCCAGAGCAGGTTTCCTGGACACGGTACAGGCTTTGCTGGAGTTTCAAGCTGATGTTAACATCGAAGATAATGAAGGGAACCTGCCCTTGCACTTGGCTGCCAAAGAAGGCCACCTCCCTGTGGTGGAGTTCCTTGTGAAGCACACAGCCAGCAATGTGGGGCATCGGAATCATAAGGGGGACACCGCCTTCGACTTGGCCAGGTTCTATGGAAGAAATGAGGTCATTAGCCTGATGGAGGCAAATGGGGTGGGGGAAGCCACAAATCCACAGTGAGCGTGGGGGGGGAGGGCTTTCCCACATTGCCTTTACTTTGTCAGTTAGTTGGTTGGCTGTCCTGACTGGCTTACTATCACTTGTTAAAATATAAGATTTTGTTTTGTTTCTTATTTTAAGCAGCTGGTTAAAGTCTTTGAAATTGTCTAATTGGAAATCTCACTACAAGTTTATGAAATATTTAAACATCCTTTTCACTGTCAAAAACTCTGATTTCTAACATGTAATTGCAAATAGCTATGCCTTTCTTCTGGATATTTTATCTATGATTTTTTTTTTTCTTTGCTTACCCTTTGCCACACTCAGAATCTTACCTGAAGTCTTTGTTTTAAAAATTCTTTGTCCTGATGCATCTTTTGCCTAATTAAAACTTTTTTCATAAGAGGACCAGATTTTCCTGTGATTTTTTTTTTTTTACTCCTCTGTACACAACTTGTCATTTTGCAAGAAATGTGTTAAAAGTTCATAACACTGTATTTATTAACATTAGAAAAGAACACATTGGAAATCCAATTATATTGTGGTTACAGTGGAGTTATTCCTTTGTTTCCTTCCCTTTGCCCCCTCCCAAAGATTTCATTGGCTGGCTCTGCTTTTATTAATATTTTGGCTTCAAAAAGGAATATGAACAGCATTTTTGAAGAGCAGACTTGATATTTCATTGTGAATTCCTTGTAATGCCCAGTCTTCCCTTTTTCTCAAAATTGAGTCAAGCAGCTGATAGGTGGATTTCAGAAGTAGCAATGTGAAAACAAACATCAGCTCTAAAAAGTCAGTGCTGAAAAAAAAAAAAAAACACCACTGTGGAAACACTTCCCATTGGATGACTTTTTAAAATCAAAAATTAAAACAGTTGCTTAATGTATTTCTCAGGCTTGTGCCACAAGTAAGCTAACACAACACTGACTTTTCCTCATGAATGTCAAAAATGCAAAACTACAAAATGTTTAAGTATTAAAATACAAATATCAGTGTTCATGATGGGAAACTAAAAACACCTCAACCAGAAAACAAAACAAAACAAAACAAAAACAAACAAAAGGTATATAAAGACCTAGGATCTACAGAATAAGAAATATTGAAACTTTCACCATACATTATAAGCAACTTCTCCATATGGTACTTGATTTATTTCCATGGGTTTATTTTTTTTTAAAACTAAGTGAGCCTAAAATCTTTTGGGGAACATTTTAGCTTAAAAAATATTGAGGGAACTAGTCATATCTCAAATTTCTGAAAGGATTTTCTCCATATCTAGTGATTGTACTGTCATATTAGTCAATGCAGTTACCATTTATAAATTTATAAATACTGTATTCATCATTTGCCACACAAAGATGTTTTATGTGAAAGTTTCCTCCTCTGCTTCATATGCTCTCTGCCTTCAATTCAAAAAGAACAAAATACTTGAAGGTTTATTGAAGAGCATGGCTCTGGGGTCCGTCTTAACAAGGACTGTAAGGGTTGAAGGCAAGTGGTTTTAAATAGCATTTCTTCCAGCATAAATATTAAAGAATCTGGGATAGTAAGCATGAACTGTGGGGTTAAAATTTGCATTCCCAAAACTTCAGCCTCCTTTAACTGCATTTCTACATGAATTTATTTTCAATGGCAGCATGACATTAAACTCAGGAAAGTTTTGAAGGTAGAAGTTGAGGTGGTCTAAAAGGGAAATACTTCTATTTTAAAATAGTCTCATTATATAAAACATACAGCTTTAGTAAACTGGACATTTACAAAGAGTAGCACTATTACTGAAAGTTGTGCTTTGAAACCCTTCTTACAAATTGCAACCGTAAAGTTGGGCAATTCCAAATTTACAGTTTAATTGACTTGAAGTACCACATGTCTCAGCATTTATTTTATCCCATGATGTAAAATCACCTTTAGAGGTTTCAAATACAAAGGCACGGGATGTCCATAAAGCAAAAGAGAAGTGCTGTAATTGCTTTGTTCTCGGGTGGTCTGAGTACAGCAGAGGGAGAGGATGCCCTATCTCTTAATCAGGCTAAGATTTGCTAGGCATTAAAACCCTGGCTCCTCACAGGAAGTAGCTTTGCTAATCTGAGTATTTTAGAAATGAGTTATGTGGTCCCCTCTCGGAAATATGAAAAGCTATGCAATCTCTCAAAAACCTCGACAGTACTCAGAACTCTTGAATAAGCAGAGAAGGGAGGGTGCTGCTGAGCTTAGTGGGGTCTAAATTGCATGGCGCTCAGGTCGGGAGGAGTCTGAATTTATTCAGGTGCAGAGCAAGGATGAAAAATCTAATTGAATAGAGTGCCCAGAACCCCAGGAGACCCTGCTATATCAAAGATAGGGGTTATAAAGCAGAGGTGTGAGCTGAGTTTTCTCCACTGTGCCCTAATCCTCACCGGGAAACTCAGGTCCAGTCTTCCAGCAGTAAACTAAATCCAGATTTACACCTGCGAAAAGAAGAGGGGTTGTACACTAACAGGGTATCAGATCACACTCTGGTACTAGAGTCACTGACCAAGGAACCTTTCCTCCCTTTTCTCTGATGAGTCAACAAGGTTGTTTGTTTGTTTTTGTCTTGTTTTATTTTTAATGAATACCATGCATCAAGCAGTGGTGTGATAACCTTTTGCACGCTCAAACACACACACACACACACACACACACACACACACACTGTGGGAACCTGACAAATACATAAAGTATTGTTTCCTGGGAAAGCAAATTATTTGGCAATATGATAAATTTACTTTATCTTGATCATATTGGATGTTGGAGTTTGTGGCAAGAGACTTTCAAGTTTTCAGTTGCTAGGAAGGTATTTTAGGCTTTCACCGGGGTTCAAGAAACACTGGGAAAATCACAGTGATGGAGCGAGAAAGTGTCATACTTAACAAACCTTCTTGGCTGTTCTAAGCTACTTCAGACAAAAGACTACAGGGGAGAAAGTCTCATCTTAGTGTGTGTAGAATGCTGCTTTTTATCCGGCTGTTTCCTGCAAACCGACCCACGCAGACACTTAGTGAGAGGCAGAAAACAAAAATCCCGCCCGTGATGGGGGTAAAGCTCTGTCCAGAGCCAACCACAGCATCTGAGGAGGGGTTGTCAACACATCTTTTGTGTCCGAGACTAAGACTCAGGCTGGGGAAGAAGCTGGAGCCCGGCGCTCCTTCTGTGCGCGCAGAAAAGCCCGCGGGTGGGGGTGGGGGAGCGGCAAAACCGTTAGCTCACTTTTTTTTTTCCGTCCTCGCAAAGGTCTCTTTTCTCTTCTCTTCCTGTCCAAATATTTCAAATTTCCGCGCCTTAAATAACAGTCTCCTTTTATTTAGTTAGTTTCCCCAGCAGGTTTGGCCGTGGGCTGGTCTCTGCCCCTCTATAGATCCGGGGCTCCTCTAGCCCCTCGGTGCTCCAGCAGCCCCCACATCACCCCGAGCCCAGCGCACTACGCGGAGCGCGCCCCGGGGGAGCCACAATGCCGGCTCGCTCGCGACCTCGTTTAACCTGGGTGTTCGGCCACCCGGAGCCACCGAGGCTGCCCCCAGCCCAGAGTGGAGCCGGCCAGTCTCCCAGCCCAACTTCCCTCCCGAGCTTTAGCAGCTTGCCCCGCTTCGGGCTTGGAAGCCCTCAGTCCTGCAGAGGCAAAAAGGCAGGGGGGGGGGGGGAGAGGGGGGGGGGGGGCGGGGGTCCGCAGTCCGCGCCAGCCCCCAGCCACCGTAACCTTGAAGGGCGCCCTCGAGTGAGTGCGTGCGCGGCGGCTGTGGAGAGCTGGCGCAACGGGCTGGATGGGAGGCAGGAGCTGGGAGCAGGGTACGGGGAGGCGGCCCCAGCGCCCTGGGAGTTGTGGGTGACCTGGACAGCCAACTCCGGGTGCTGGCCCTCGGGCAGCCACCCGGCTGGATGGTGCTGGCCCCCGGGCCGTGACCGGAGGGCGGCGCGCGAGCCGGGGCGAGCAGGCCGGTGAGCGCCTGGCTCTCCGCGGAGGTGAGCTGGTGGCCCGAGCCGCAGGCGGGCTGCAGCCACTCGGAGTCCCACGCCAAAGCCGGCGCTCCCCTCCTCCGCTGGCGATGACAGCTGAGGACAGCCGGGCTTCCAGCCTGGCTAAGAGGCAAATTCTTCTCTGGCTTCTTAGCCTCTTGAACTATTCGCAAAATTGCCCCATGGTTTTGCTTTTCCTCCGTAATTTACTAGACATCCGGAACCGAAAATGCACGTTCATTCAGGAAGACCCCAGCCTGGACAGTGATATCTTCAGAGCTGGGGTGTACAGAAGAACACCTAGGAGTCTTAATTCTTTTTTCTTTCAATCTTCAGCGATGCCTCGAAAGAATCACCCTTCTCTCTCAACCTCCCAGATCTGGATATACACTTGATAAATGAAGGTTCCTGTGAAATATTTTGTCGTCTGTGTAGAAAACATTATGTGGACTTTAAGTGTTAAGATGTAGTTTTGGAATTTTCTGTGTTGTCTTTAATTCTCACCAGACATTTAGGAAAAACAACAACAACAAAACAGCTTGGTAGCGGCCAGCAAGTGAGCAAAGGTTATCCTGCTACCACAGCACCTGCAAAAGCGCAAGTGGAATTCACATATTTTGCCTCCCGTGTTCTAAAATGGATTCTGAACCGTCCAGAGAAACCAGCACATAGAAAGAGGGGAAGCTGTGATGAAAGCAGAGTTTGTTCATTTTTAAAATTACACAGGTACTATACTAAAACTGTTTCACCTAAGCTCTGTGTCTGTCTCACTGATCAAGGCAGAATTTTAACTTAGGCCTACTCAATAATTTTATACACAACCATTTTTCTCTTCCTTCACACCCCACTCCCCAACCACCCCACCACCACCAAAATAAAATACAAACAACCAGCCAGAAACAGCAGCTCTTTGGGAGAGGAAGTAAGAAGCCACCAATCTCTATCCAAATACACTTCATTTCTTCTGAGGACTAAGAAGAAATCCTGCTTCCAACCAGCCCAGAGCTAGGGAAGAACTAACTTACCAGGAACACAAACACTTAAATAGTTAAATAATTAAAGTGATACTGTCTCTTAGCATGAAAATAATGGACAGTTTCTCAAGTTGCTAAGTAAAAACTCATATTTCTTCCTGGAAATATTTGGACCCAAAGGCTTCTGCTTTTAATATTCCATCAGAACAGCAAGTCCCTTAGAAAAGTCTGGAACTTTATCTTAACCATGTAGAGAGCAGTATCATGTTGACAGATTTTATTCCTATGTCTTTGGTTTTTCAAATTAGTTACATAAATTGTGGAAGTTACATATAAAGGCAAAATGTCCCAAGGTCTTTTGATGTCAGATTTTTAACTTAGAAGAATAACCAAAAATTATCAACGGTAATAAAATACTGCCCACTCCCCTGTTTCTTCTCAGTATAGTTTGTACAGTGGCTGGGA